CTGGTAGAATTCTGCATTGAAACCGTCTGGTCCTGGGCTTTTTTTGGAAGGGAGATTTTTGATAACAGTTTCTAGTTCTTCGTGACTAACAGGTCTATTTAGATTGTTCACCTGGTCTTGGTTTAGCTTTGGTATATGGTACTTATCTAAAAAAAATGTCCATTTCTTTTGCATTTTCCAGTTTTGTGGCATACAGGCTTTTGTAGTAAGATCTAATGATTCTCTGAATTTCCTCTGTGTCTGTGGTTATGTCCCCCTTTTCATTTCTGATCTTATTTATTTGCGTGTTCTCTCTCTGTTGTTTAATTAGTTTGGATAGGGGTTTGTCAATCTTGTTGATTTTCTCCAAGAACCAACTTTTTGTTTCATTGATTCTTTGGACTGTTTTCTGTGTTTCTATTTTGTTGATTTCCGCCCTCAGTTTGATTATTTCCAGTCTTCTGCTCCTTCTGGGTGTGTCTGCTTCTTTTTTTCTAAAGCTTTCAGGTGTGCTGTTAAGTCCCCAATGTATGCTTTCAAAGGGCACTTAGTGCTATGAACTTTCCTCTTAGCACTGCTTTCATCGTGTCCCATAGGTTTGAGTATGTTGTCTCTTTATTTTCATTAAATTCAAGGAAGACTTTAATTTCTTTCTTAATTTCTTCCTTGACCCAGGTGTGGTTCAGTAGTTGACTGTTCAGTTTCCATGAGTTTGTCGGCTTTCTGGGGGTAGCATTGTTGTTGCCTTCTAACTTTAATCCGTGGTGATCTGATAAGACACAGGTGGACACTGATATTTTTTTGTATCTGTGGAGGTTTCCTTTGTTTCCGAGTATGTGGTCAATTTTCGAGAAGGTTCCATGAGCTGCAGAGAAGAAGGTATATTCTTTCCTATTTGGGCGGAGTGTTCTATAGATGTCTGTTAAGTCCATTTGCTTCATTACCCCTGATAATTCTCTTAATTCTCTATTAGGTTTCTGTCTGATTGACCTGTCCATTGGAGAGAGAGGTGTGTCGAAGTCTCCTACTACTAGTGTGTGTGGTTTGATGTCTGCCTTAAGTTCTAGTAATATTTCTTTTATATAAGTGGGTGCTTTTATATTAGGGGTGTAGATATTCAGGATTGAGACTTCATCCTGATGAATTGTTCCTGTTATGAGTATAAAGTGTCCATCTCAATCTCTTCTGATTGATTTTAGTTTGAAGTCAGTTTTGTTAGAAATTAGTATGGCCACACCTGCTTTTTTCTTAGGACCATTTGCTTGAAACACTTTTTCCCAACCCTTTACTCTGAGTAGATGCCTGTTTTTGTGGTTGAGATGTGTTTCTAGCAAACAGCAGAATGTTGGATCCTGTTTTCGTATCCAATCTCTTAGCCTGTGCCTTTTTATAGGTGAATTGAGACCCTTAATATTAAGTGATATTAATGACCAGTGGTTGTTTACTCCAGTTATTCTTATTGTTTTTGGTAGTAGAGTTTGCGTGTCTCCCTTCTTTGAGTTGTGCTGGTGAAGGGTCGCTAGATGCCTGAGTTATTGTAGGCAGTGTTGGCAATGTTGGATTCCTTGGGTTGCGATTTTCCTTCTATTACTTTCTGTAGGGCTGGATTTGTGGCTACGTATTGTTTAAATTTGTTCTTATCCTAGAATGTCTTGTTTTCTCCATTGATAGTGAACAATAGCTTGGCTGGGTATAGTAGTTTGGGTTTGCATTCATGGTCTCTTAGTGTCTGCAGTACCTCTATCCAGGACCTTCTGGTTTTCATGGTTTGCATAGAGAAGTCAGGTGTAAGTCTGACTGGTTTACCTTTTTAAGTTACTTGGCCTTTTTCCTTTGCAGCTCTTTATATATATATATATATATATATATATATATATATATATATATATGTATTTGGTTTTTCGAGACAGGGTTTCTCTGTGGTTTTGGAGCCTGTCCTGGAACTAGCTCTTGTAGACCAGGCTGGTCTCGAACTCACAGAGATCCGCCTGCCTCTGCCTCCCAAGTGCTGGGATTAAAGGCGTGCGCCACCACCGCCCGGCTTTTACAGCTCTTAATATTCTTTCTTTAACCTGTATATTTTGTGTTTTGATTATTATATGGCGAGGGGATGTTTTTCTTTGATCCAGTCTGTTTGGTGTTCTGTATGCTTCTTGAATATTTAAAGGAATATCTTTCTTTATGTTGGGAAAGTTTTCTTCCATAATTTTGTTAAAAATATTTTCTGGGCCTTTGAGCTGTGACTCTTCTCCTTCTTCTATTCCTATTATTTTTAGGTTTGGTCTTTTTATTGTGTCCCATATTTCCTGAATGTTTTGTGATGAGAATTTGTTGGCTCTGCTGTTTTCTTTGATCAGTGTGTTTATTTTCTCTATGGTGTCCTCAGAATCTGAGATTCTTTCTTCTATCTCTTGTATTCTATTGATTATGCTTGTTTCTATAGACTCTGATCGTTGACCTAGATTTTCCATATCCAGCTGGTCCTCAGTTTGTGTTTTCTTCCTTACTTCCATTTCAGTTTTCAATTCTTGAACTGTTTCCATTACCTGTTTGATCATTTTTTCTTGGTTTCCCAGGGTATCATGTACATATTTACTCATTTCTTTAAACTTTCTGTTATACTTCCCATCCATTTCTATAAGGGTGTTTTTTACATGTTGTTTAAGGGACTATTGCTTTCATAAAGTCAATTTTTTCCACTTCTTATATGTTAGGGTGTTGAAGTCCTTCTGTTGTAAGATCGTTGGGTTCTGGTGTTTTCATGTTGTTTTTCAGATTATTGGGCGAATTCTTGCCTTGGCGCCTGCCCATCTCCTCCTATCGATGCTATCTAATGGGTCTTTTAAAACCGGATCAGGTTTCCCTGCTGGCCAGGGGCTTCTCTTACAAAATGCCCTCGCTCTGTTTCCTGGCTCCTGCCGGGGGCCAAGATTCCTCTCACCCCTCAGAAGAGTCTTCAGGAATAGGACCAGGCTCCCCGTTTGCCAGGGACCTTGCCAACAAAAGGCTACCTCTTTGATTTAATTGTAGTGGGGCGTCTACGGCCGCCTGCGTCTGCCCGAACAGGATCTTTTCATGCATTCATTTGAAAAATGTAAAGAGTTTTATTTACATGTGTATGAGTGTTTTACTTGTGTGCATGTATGTGCAGCACATGGGTGCTGTGCCCACAGTGCCCAGGGAGAGAGTGTTGGACCCTTTGGAACCAGAGTTACAGATGGTCAAGAGCCAGATTCTCTGCAAAACCAACAAGTGCTCCTAACCCCTGAGTCATCCCTCCGGCACTCAACTAGTGCTCCTAACCCCTGAGTCATTCCTCCAACACTCAACTAGTGCTCCTAACACTGAGTCATCCCTCCAGCACTCAACTAGTGCTCCTAACACTGAGTCATCCCTCCAGCACTCAAACTAGTGCTCCTAACCCCCAGTCATCCCACCAGGGCTCCAACTAGTGCTCCTAACACTGAGTCATCTCTCCAACACTCCAACTTGTGCTCCTAACCCCTGAGTCATTCCTCCAGCACTCAACTAGTGCTCCTAACCATCGACTCATCCCTCCAGCACTCAACTAGTGCTCCTAACCATCGACTCATCCCTCCAGCACTCCAACTAGTGCTCCTAACTCTCAGTCATCCCACCAGGACTCCAACTCGTGATCCTAACACGGAGTCATCCCTCTAGCACTCAACTAGTGCTCCTAACACTGAGTCATCCCTCCAGCACTCAACTAGTGCTCCTAACACTGAGTCATCCCTCCAACACTCCAATTAGTGCTCCTAACACTGAGTCATCCCTCCAACACTCCAATTAGTGCTCCTAACCACGAGTAATTCCTCCAGCACTCTATTATTATTATTTTATTTTGAGGCAGGATTTCTCTGTATATCCTAGGCTGGTCTTGAATTTATGTAACCCTAGCTGTCCTCAACCTTTTGATCCTGTCTCAGTTTTCTTTTTTCCTATTCTTTTTTCTTTTTTGTTTTTTCAAGACAAGAGTTTCTCTGTAGTTTTAGAGCCTGTCCTGGAACTAGCTCTTGTAGCCCAGGCTGGCCTCAAATTCACAGAGATCCGCCTGCCTGTGCCTCCTGAGTGCTAGGATTAAAAAAAAAAGGCGTGCGCCACCACCGCCTGGGCCTGTCTCAGTTTTCTATATGCTGGGATTACAAATGTGCGTGGCCATGCCTGCCTTTCTTTGGTTATAAGATCTTGTTGCTGATGAACCATGCTGATAGCATTTTCTGACTTATTATGGTGCAGGCCGTGCACTATGCATGTTCCCGATCGTCTAACCCTTTGCTCAGTTCTTTGCAATGGAACTACTCCGCTACCCCATCTACCAACTCCAAACTGCCGAAGCCAGGCTGTGACTCAGACAGCCTGACCTCAGAGCCACTCTACTCAGAGGGACATTCAGCTCTGGACTTCCTCATTTGCCAATGCAAGCTCTGCTTGGGGTAGCGAGAGCCTTTCCATTTATTCAGTGAAGCTTGCAAAAATCATTTCAGTGGCAAGTTTTGTTTTGTTTTCTTTTTTGAGGGGCTTTTTTATTTTTGAGACAGGGTTTCTCTGTATAGCTTTGGAGCCTGGCCTAGAACTCGCTTTGTAGACCAGGCCAGCTTTGAACTCACAGAGATCTGCCTGCCTCTGCCTCCCAAGTGTTGGGATTAAAGGCATGCACCACCACCGCCCATCTGTGACAAGTTTGTAAGAACATAAACTCAGGGGCTGGAGGTAGGGCTCAGCTGTTAAGAGCACCAGTTGTTCTTCCCAGGGACTGGAGTTCAAATTCAGTCCCCACATGGTGGTTCACCACCATCTGAAATTCCACTTCTGACGCCCTCTTCTGATATCTTCGGGCACTGCATCCATGTGGTGTACAGATACACATGCAGATAAAACACTCATATATAAAAAAGAACCTAAATGCAAAAAGCAGTATTTACTTTCTCCCCTAGACCTGTGTCTACGTGAGACCATCATTTGAAGATTCCCCTGAGCTAAGGTATTGTCATCTCTTTCAGAGACTCCTTCTTGGGCACAAGATCAAGACAGCATTTGCCCTTGTATGGGAAATGACCTACATACACATCAGGAAATACAGATTCTGACCAATCGTCAGCTTTCTCTTCACTGGTTGGGTGAGTTCTTTTCCCGAGTTGTCAGGTGCATTCTCCCAAGACCACAGACACCTGTGAAGTCTCTACGGCACGTGCTGACTGCCCTTCACATGCAGATGTGCCCAGCTTTCTAGTTAGCCAGGAGGTCTATTTGCTTATTTGTTTAGACAAGTTCATGCTCTGTAGCTCAGACTGGCCTGCAACTGCAACTGCAACTCGACTAGCCTGGCCTTGAATTAACAGAGCCCCTCCTGCTTCTGCCTTCAACAGGCTAGAACTAAGAGTGTGCATTGCTATACCCAGGCCCCCATTTTAGTTGGAAAGTTCTTGCTATGTTCCCCAGATTGGCACTGAACTTATGATTCCCGTGTAGCTGAGATAACAGGTCCACAAAAATCTCACCTGTCTGGGTTTTGTGTGTTTAATAACCTTTTCTGCTTAAGTTAACCAAGATGGACATATTTCTGGGAGTTAAGAGCTTCTGAGTGGATTTCATGTGTCCCTGATACCTTTTTTTTTTGTCTTTGTATCTTTCCAGTAGTGTTACTTTTCATTTTGTTTTTGTTTTTTGTTTGTTTGTTTTTGTTTGCTTCTTTTCTTTTCTTTTCTTTCTTTCTTTCTTTTTTTTTACAAAGCTACTTTTAATACTTTGGGGTGTGCCCCACAGGAATAAAAAACACTGGGAAGGGGTAACCCCCTCACCCCCAGGAGTGGCCCAGGGGTAGAGAGGCTACCTGAGGGGAAGGAAGCACAAAAGGAACCCGCTGCAGACTCAGGGCAAAGGGAATGCCATCAGTGCTGGGACCTGTGAGCACTACAGGAAGAAACTCGAGCATGGTGGGACTGGCTCCAGGCACATAGGCGTAGGGCAAGAGGGTTGGACATGAAGCCACAAAGCTACTTGGGTTCCTCCTTCTTCTTGTTTGCCTTTTTCTGCTTCTGCTGCATGATCTCTGAGTACCTCTGCTTGCGGGCGGCAGCAGAAAGCCCATCATCTTGGCTCTTTCCCTTAACCGAGTCGCTCTGCTTCTTCATGTTCTTCTGGTGGGCAAGCTCTCGCTGGTTACCGCGGGTCCTGGCACGACAGAGGCTCCAACCTGCCTCCGTTGCGTACCCTCGTTCTGGCCGACCTGTTTGCTTGTTTTCAAGACAAGGTCTCACTATGTAGTTCTGGCCATCCTGGAGCTCACTATGTAAACCAGGCTAGCCTCGAACCCGCAGAGATCCACTTGTCTCTGCCACTTGAGTGCTGGGATTAAAGGCGTGCACCACTATGCCCAGCTAGATCTGTTTTTCTTATAAAAGGATTCTGAAAGTAATATAATCATCATTATTATTTTGGCTCTTGTTTCAATAACCTAATTCATTCAGCGAGCAATGAATCCTCGTATGCTGGCTGGAAATGTAGGGGAAAATAGGACCAGGTCCTTGTTCTTTGTGTTTTTTCTTACTCTGGGACAGATGTATCAGCAAGTACATTCTAAGGCATGGTGAGATGGGGTTAAAGAGGCTGGGTGGGCCCAACTGCAGAGGCAAGTCAGTAAGACATCAGAAAATGCTCTGCAGCACAGATGTCCATTTGGGGCTGGACTTAGAAAGGTAAGAAGGGCCAGGTGCAGTGGTGCACACTTTTAATCCCAGCACTCAGGAGGCAGAGGCAGGTGGATCTCTGTGAGTTCAAGGCCAACATGATCTACTTGGAGAGTTCTAAGCTAGCCAGGGCTATATAGTGAGATTATGAAAAAAAGTAATAAAGAAAGAAAAGAAGAGTAAGAAGGAACAGGGGCCTTACAAGTGGACAGGGAGGGCAAATGATAACAGAAAGAGTAGCCCGCTGAGGGACATGATGGGAAATGGAATGTCTTTCGGGAAAAGGCAAGGATAGATAGGTAAGGCTAAAGTAGGAAGTCCAAGGTAATCAGATCTGAGCATGGGAAGAGCCTTGATGAAAGACTTTAGACTTTGCTCCCTAGGTTATAGGGAGAGTGACACCATCAGATCTGTACTTCGCTTATGTGAGTGACTGGTCACAGGTGAGGGGCAGGTGTGACATCGGATAACTGCAGTAGTTCAGGGTGGAGACGGCAAAGCTATGACTGAGGCAAAGAGTGGGAATAAAGACAAAAGAGGGTTTTGACAGGTTTACAAATCCTATTCAAAGCTGGATGGCGCATGCCTTTAGTCCCAGCACTTGGAAAGCAGAGGCAGGCAGATCTCTGTGAGTTCGAGGCCAACCTGGTCTACAAGAGCTAGTTCCAGGACAAGCACCAATAACTACAGAGAAACCTTGTCTCAAAAAAAAAAAAAAAGCTGGACGAGGCAATCTAGTAGGAAGAAAAGGGTCCCAAGTGCAGGCAAAGTCAGAGACACCCCCACTCGCACTGTTGGGAGTCCCATAAGAACACCAAGCTACACAACCATAACAGACATGCAGAGGACCTAACTCAGATCCATACAGGGTTGTGACTGACACTTCTGTCTCTATGAGTCCCTATGAGCCCTGCTTAGTTGATTCTGTGGTCTGTGTCCACATGGTGTCCTTGACTCCTCTGGCTCCTACAATCCTCCCCAGCTTCTGTGGGGATCCCCTGGATCTGCCTCGTGTTTGGCTGTGGGTCTCTGCATCTGTTTCCATCAGTTGCTGAGTGACGCCTCTCTGATAACAATTGGATGAAATGCCGATCTGTGAATATAGCAGAGTATCATTAGGAACACTTGGAATCATTTAATTGACTTTTTTGTTTGTTTTGTTTTTTGAGACAGGGTTTATCTGTGTAGCTTTGGAACCTGTCCTGGAACTTGCTTTGCCTGCTTCTGCCTCCGAGTGTTGGGATTAAAGGCATGCGCCACCACCACAAATATTTTGTGTCTAGGTTGATGCCCCAGTCCCACAGCTTGGAGCCTTGCCAGGCTGTAGAAGATGGCCAGTTCAGGCTCCATATCCCCGTTACAAGGAGTCTTCCCTAGGGTCACTCGTGTAGATTCCAGGGAGTTTCCACTGCACTAGGTGTCCACATTATTCCCCAAATGCCCCTTCCATTCTAGTCTCTCCCAGGACTCTCTGCCTCTATCCCAGCTGCCCTGCCCCCACTCCTCCTGCTCCCATACCTGCCCCAGTTCTCCCACAAAATCTATTCTATTTCCCCTTCCTAGGAAGATCCATGTGTGCCCCCTTGAGCCCTCCGTGTTATTTAGCCTCTCTGGCTCTCTGGATTGTAGCATGATTATCCTTTACTTAACAGCTAATGTCCACTTCTAAGTGAGTACATACCATTGATAGTATCTGTGCTGACCCTGCCCTTAGGGTCCTGACAGGATATGTCCTCGGCTGCAGCCACTAAGAGCACCTCCTGTGCACATGCTGTGTTCCCCTTTAAAAGGTGAACTTCGCCCACCTTCTGTCTGTTTCCCTCCTCCCTCCCTCCCTCCCTCCCTCCCTCCCTCTCTCTCCCTCTCCCTCCCTCTCCCCCTCTTCTGCCCCTCTTGTCCCCAGGGACTAGTTTCTACCTCCTTCTCTGCCCTTTCTCTCTCCTCTTTCAATAAGCCTCCCAGGTGAGTCTTGTTGCATGGCATGACTTCTCTTCGTGGTGTTTCTTAAATTACAGCAACCATGTTTGTCTTTCTGGGTCTGGGTTGCCTCACTCAGGATGATTTTTTTCTTGCTCCATGCATTTACCTGTAAATTCATGATGTCATTGTTTTTAACAGCTGAGTAAAATATGTAAATGTAGCACATTTTCTCTGTTTTTCAGTTGAGAAACATCTAGATTTCCAGTTTCTGGCTATTATGAATAAAGTTACTATGAACATAATTGAGCAAGTGTCCGTGTGGTAGGATGGACCATCTTTTGCATATATGCCCAAGAATGGTATAGCTGGGTCTTGAGGTAGATTCATTTCCAATTTTTCTGAAGAACCACCATATTGATTTCCATAGTGACTGTATAATTTTGCACTCCTACCAACAATACAAGAAGGTTTCCCATGCTCCTCATCTTCACCAGCATGAGCTGTCACATGTGTTTTTTATGTTAGCCGTTCTGATAGGTAAGATGGAATCTCAAAGTAGTTTTGATTTGCATTTCCCTGATGACTAAGGATGTTGAACATTTCTTTGTTTCTCAGTCATTTGATATTCCTCTGTTGAGAATTCTTTATTTAAATCTGTCCCCCATCTAATTTTAATTGGATTATTTGGTTTGTTGATGTCTAGTTTCTTGAGTTCTCTTTATATTTTGAATATTAGTCCTCTGTCAGATGTTGGTGAAAATCTTTCCCCATTCTCTTTTGTCCTATTGGCAGTGTCCTTTGCCTTACAGGAGCTTCTCCGTTTCATGAGCTTATCAAGTATTTGAAAGTATATCAGGGCTACCGTCGCGTGGGACAGATGGTCCCATTTTCATATTTGTGTGAGTTCGCCTGCTCCCTGGAGGCTGCCCTTCGACAGGTAGGCTGAAGCAGGGGAAACTCAGAGTTTGTTGTGCTGCCTGACTCAGGGACTGGAGAAGGAGGTCACTGGCCATGATTCTGGGTGACCCCTGCATCGCAGAGACTCATTTTGTATCCCACAATGGCTATCTCCCCTGTTGTAACACGCTGTCCAACCTCCAGAGGCCAGCCCTGCAAGTTTTCCCAGTTCGGTGTCAGGAACTGTCCCTGTCCAGATCACATGGGTTTTGTGAGGCCATGCTCGATCCTCTCCGGACTCTGAACCCTGTCCAGTGTCCTCGTCCTTCCTTCCATTCTCTTATGATGCCCGACTCTCAGAAACATGCTTAGGCTTTCCTTGCAGGGGTTCTGTCCTCACACGGATACTTTCTCACAGATGTAGACAGGAGACCACCGTGAGGAGTTTAATGATGATGAGAGCTGGGAACAACAGGAACCCAAGCGAGGGCCGACTGAGGCAGAGCCATCTCTCAGTCTCTTAACAGCTGGGTTTTGTTTGTTTGCTTTGTTTTTTATCTCAGTCATATTTTGTTTTGGGGGCTTTTATCAAAGTCTAGCCCTCTCTTCCAAAGATCTGGACAAGTCCGTGGCAAAGCTCCCGCCTCTGCGTGTTTAACAAGAATTCATACTGTGTCGTCAGGCTCCGTTCAAGACGTCAGGACATTCATAACCTAGAACCACACTGACAAATTGCTGTATTCTGCCTCAATTATTGTCCTCAACAGCAGGCTGGAGAGCTGACTCAGTGGTTAAAAAGCATTTGCTCCCAGCTGGGTAGCACACCCTTAATCCCAGCACTCAGGAGACAGAGGCAGGCAGATATATGTGAGTTCGAGGCCAGCCTGGTCTACACAGTGGGTTCAGGACAGGCTCCAAAGCTACAGAGAAACCTTGTCTTGAAAAACCAAAAAAAAAAAAAAAAAGGAAAAGAAAAAAAGAAAGAACATTTGCTCCCATAAGTACTAACCACATCCAGACCCAGCCCTGTTTAGTTTCCAAGATCAGGCAGGTTCAGGTTACTTATTTATTTATAGATGATATTTATTTATTTATAAATATTAAAAAAGAAAAGAACATTTGCTCCTTCAACCAGATGTGGTGGCATTTGCCTTTAATCCTAGCACTTGGGAGGCAGAGGTAGGCGGATCTCTGTGAGTTCAAAGCTAGCCTGGTCTGCAAGCCAAACAGCTCTAGGGTCAGCCAAGGCTACATAAAAATACCAAACAAACAAGCCTTAAACAAACAAGAGAAATCAGGCATTTAGGCTGAATGACTCGGAGGAAGAGATCTTCCTGATGATGAGACAGAATGAGAATGAAGTGGGGGCAGCCAAGGGCCATTTGTGGTAGTTGCTTCCAGGCAGAGGAACAAGGGCAGAGCATTTTATAGCGTGTGTGTCTAGGTCCAGGAGACTAAGAAGTCAGAGTTATCTGTCGTTCTCACTTTCCCTCTGTGCATGTGTGGCTTGCTGGAGGGGCTCTCTTCAGTCAACCATTTGTGCAAACCAGGAGGCTGCATGAGAGAGAGCTGAGCTCTCTGTTGACTTCATCAAAGACCTGTAATGCTTTAACGACCAAGAATCATAATTATTATATTACAATCTTGTCCTTTCATTTTTTTATTATTGAGATGGAATTCACATAACATGTAATTAGTCATTTTTAAAGTTATAGTCCAAGTGGCATTCAGTGCATTCTCCATGTTGTGAAATCAGCTCCTCTCAGGTTTCAAAACATGCTTTAGACTCTAGCTCAGAATGAAAGCCCTGCTCTTCTGTCTGATTTTTTATGTTGATTTTGCAGTGTTCGAGACTGAGCCCAAGGCATCACACATGCTAAACATTTGCTAGACATCACACATGCTAGGTACTCAACCATGGAGATACCTCCCCAGCCCCATAGTTTTCTTTTCTTTTTTTTTTTAAAGATTTTTATTTATTAATTATGTATACAGTTTTCCCTGCTGCAGGCCAGAAGAGTGCACCAAATCTTATTACAGATGGTTGTGAGCCACCATATGGTTGCTGGGAATTGAACTCAGGACCTCTGGAAGAACAGTCAGCGCTCTTAACCTCTGAGCCATCTCTCCAGCCCCATAGTTTTCTTTTTAAAGTATTTTAAAATGTGTTATTAGTGTGTTTGTGTGCACATGTGCCCCACCCTGTGTTTGCCATGGCGCACATGTGGAAGCCAGAAGACAACTCAGTTCTCCCTCCCACTTGGGTCCCAGGGATGCAGAAGTGGAATTCAGGTTCTCAGGCTTGCTCAGCCAGAGCTTTCAACGGCTGAGCCATCTCTTTAGCTCCCTCATGGTGCTCAATAGAAATTTATGCTGCCACTTTTTTAGTGGTGGTGGGGCGACAGGGTCCCACCATGTAACTCTGGCTGGCCCAGAACTCACTCTGTAGACCAGGCTGGCCCAGAACTCACTCTGTAGACCAGGCTGGCCTGAAACTCACAGGGATCCACATCTACCTGCTGCAGCCTCCCAAGGACAGCGATTAAAAGCGTGTGCCACTATGCCTCTGCTCTCGAAATAGAATCCTCCCTCCCAATCTATCTAATTTTGTTCTTTCCATTTCCAGCTGTTGTGTACCAGTTCCTATGATTCATCTGTGTGTTGATTCAACAGATGTTTATCAAGTACCTGCACACAACACCTGGGTACTGTGGTAGGTAAATCCTAAGGACACAGGAACAACAATGTCGAATAGGACCGTGTGTCCAGGGAACACGAAGCTAGTAGGGTTTTAGATACTGAGCATGTGACTGACAGTCAGTTAAATTATGAGATATGCTGGCAGGGAGGTAGCTCAGTTGACAGAGTGCCTGCCTTGCGTGCATGAAGCCCTGGGTTTGATCACCAGCCCTCGCAAACTGGCTGTGGTAGGGTATGCCTATAACCCCAGCATTTCGGAGGTGGGGCAGGAGGAGGACAGGTTTAAGGTCATATTTGGCCACATAGCAAGTTCAAGGTCAGCCTGGGATACGCAACACACTGGGAAAGGAGGAAGGAAAAGAACAAGGAAGGAAGGAGAGAGAAAGAAAGAAGGAAATTGTGTCAAATACTTGTGAAAGCCAGTGAAACGGCTCAGCAGATAAGAAGTTCTGTTGTGGGGTGCTCATCAGAGCAGCCTACTCAGACATGGGCTTAAATCAACAGAAAGCCTTTACCAGCTGCCTATCCACTACACAGAGTGTTCAGGATCCCAGTGTAGCCCCCCATCCTTCCTCAGAGTGAGTTTCTAAGCACAAACACCATGTTCTGGGTCGGCACTTCAGTTAACCAGAACAGCTAGCCAGAGCAGAACTGCGGAAGCCAAAAGGCGAGGTCAGTACATTAGAGACTTTCCCAGAGCTGTGGGCTTCGGAGGATTAGGCAGGTGGTGCTGTCTGTGTGCTGAGTTTCACAGCCTGAACGGCACTTCCACCATGGAGTCAGTTGTACTAAGGTCTCGGGGTCTACTAGGGTCTGGGAGTCCTGTTACAGTTTTATTCCCAAGACCCACACGATGGAAGGAGAGAATTGATTTCTTTTTTTTTTTTTTTTTTTTTTTTTTAAATATTTATTGATTTATTATATATACAATATTCTGTCTGTGTGTATGCGTGAAGGCCAGAAGAGGGCACCAGACCTCATCACAGATGGTTGTGAGCCACCATGTGGTTGCTGGGAATTGAACTCAGGACCTTTGGAAGAGCAGGCAATGCTCTTAACCTCTGAGCCATCTCTCCAGCCCCCGAGAGAGAATTGATTTCTATAAACCACAGCTCCAGATAGCAGCAAGCCCCACCACGAACCTTTCCTCCAAACAAAGATAGATTTTTTTTTTTTTTTTGGTTTTTCGAGACAGGGTTTCTCTGTGGTTTTGGAGCCCGTCCCGGAACTAGCTCTTGTAGACCAGGCTGGCCTTGAACTCCCAGAGATCCACTTGCCTCTGCCTCCCGAGTGCTGGAATTAAAGGCGTGCGCCACCACCACCTGGCCAAAAAAAAAAAAAATTTTTTTTTAAGAGAATACTTGTGAATGTGTCCCAGCTGTGGGGAGACCGGTGCAGGCTGAGTTTCAGAGCTGCTTGTCCAAGAAAAAGAAAGCGGGGGTGGGGGGTGGGGTGGGGTGTGTGTGTGTGTGTGTGTGTGTGTGTCTAGCTCAGCCATGGAGTGCTCACCTAGCGTTTGCTAGGCGCTTTGCTCAGTCCTGTGGGGGGCAGATTGTCAACAAGGAAATGAGTGGGGTCTTGTGAGGGTGGAAGTAGGAAGGGGCGGGTAAAACAGCATTTTCATGTGGAGAACAGACTCTGACATAAACGGGGCCAGTGGTGTGACCACCATTATAACTGTGCCTGTGATACTCCCACCCCCAATGTCGGATTTTGCCTAATGCCACCTAGCAGGGCTTATAACCTAAGGCCTGGTGAGGGTGGAGACCGATTTGTTCAACAGAGGGCAGGCTGGGAAGGAAGATTGCAGAGGAGCAGGGTGAGCCCAGCGTCGCACCAGCCTCGGGTGCGGTTCGCAGTCGTCCAGCAGAGAGCGCCGCGGAACCGTCTTGGCTCCGCGGGCTGCGGTGCTCTGGTCCCTACCCAACCACACCTACTAGGACTCCAGTACTCCTGACCCAGCAAGCTCTCGGCGCCCCCGGGCTTTTTCTTGCACACTAGCGCCTTCTTATGTTTTGCTAGCTGCTTGTTCCTTAATCAAACTATGGAATAACAAACCACGGCAAGTCGCCTAGAAGAGTGAGCCAGTAACCACAGACACATGGACCTGCCTCATCCAGTCCCCAAGTTCAATCCCCATGCAAGGAGCCACAAAAACTGCCACTGTGCCATATGGCGGCACGTCCCTCATGTAGGCCCAATCTCGGGTTTCTTCAGGCAGGATGACCTGGCAGCAGCTGCACCGCACCCACAGCTGGTTTCGCTTTCCTCATGTTAGAAGTGCCTCTAACTGAAGGAGGGTGGTGGAACAGGTTTCAGCGTTTTCCTTATTATTCTTTT